GATCCACATTCTATTGCGCTTTTCCTAGTTAAATTTGACTTCGCATTTCGTAATCCGTATTCGATTGCGCTTTTCCTGATGAAAATATTAAACATTGTTTTTTGGGTTGGTGCTAAGTAGTCGTTGACTACCCACAACCACAGCATTGTCGCTAGCTATGAAGGCTTTCTAGGGCGATTCAATGCTATTTTTTAGCGTTTTGAAGACATTCTTGGCGTTTTTAGGGTAATATTGGTGGTGCACGTATCTGAAGCCTTTTTAATGTTGGGCCAATTTTTTATAACAATATTGATGTGTTGCGAGATTATATATTTCTCAAAGAAGGTCGCAGTAAACGAAACTTTGTGAACCACTTCCCAAGACATTATTTAAAAATTATTTTAGAATTCTAGTCAGAACTCCCTTCGGATGTTCATCAGAATTTTGTAGTTATTCTGCTGAGCATTTCTCTTGAATTAACACATTAATGCCTTTTAAATTCTCTTAAAAAATCCATTGGAACTATCCTCAGAAATATACGATTTTTTTTTAAATAACTGGAGCCCTGAACCTTCTTCCAATTTGTAGAGCCTTAAAAATTTTACAGGACCAATTATTTTTTAATCTAGATTTTTCAATGTTCCACATTTTGATTATTTTTCTCAATCTAAGACCTTACTAAAAAACGCAGTTCAATGCTCTTAACAAATCTCAATACTTCAGAATTTTTAAAGATTTATGGTAGTTCACACTACGGAATGTTCAAACATTTTCTTAATCCGAGAAATTCAACAAATTTCCCTAGATCTCATTTGTATCAAGTTAAAGATTTTTTTTTAAGGATTGTCTTAATTCGATATTTCACTCTTTACAATTCGGTTTAATGACCACACATTCAGCTTAATAGCGTTCGGCTTAGTGACTTTAGTAAAGTAAATGATACTATCGAGATAGGTGCTAGGAAAATTCAATTTGCATCGCTTTACTAAGCTCTTATGTTTTCAAAGCCCGAGAACTTACCGAGCAACTGTGTCATGGAATTTTTAAGGTCACTAGGCCGAGCGATATTGAGCTGATTGGGTCATTAGGCCGAATTCCAATCAGTGAGAGATTGAATTTAGAAATTGTTTAAGAAATCATTAACTTGATACTTGCTATATTTCTTATAATCACTACACATTTGAAGATCACTTCCAGTTGACTTACACGGTATGCTGATAGATTCATAATTATTATTAGCTGGCCCATAATTGTGGCATGACTGTAAAATGAATGTGTAATGGATCCAAAAAATTTAAAGAATAAAGATCAATGGTTTATTTTATAACATTCCAGCTGTTGAATAGGCTGTCATCCTTACCATTTTTTTGCCAGAAGTTTTGCTATTGAAGATAATTTACCCACAAATTGCGAATTTGCACTTTGGTCACGATTAAAAAAATATATTAATCACTTTCGTTATTACTGAATATTATAAACCCAGATTTTTTTTAAGATTTGAAACGGGAAATCCGGGAATTTCAATATGAAAAATCACTGGATCTGTAAAGTTCAATGTGTGGCTGAAAAAATGAGCAAAATTAAAAGTTTGTGTTTTAAAATGCATTATCCTTTGTAAGGATGACTAATGATGAGATTACCTGAGACCTATAGGTATTTTCAGGAAAAATAAAATTCCCTGAAGATGTTCGGTTTTTAGGGGGTTTTCAGGTAGTAGACCCCCTGGCTTAATAGCCGTGGGTTTGGTCATAAACTTTCTATTGAATTTTCCGCTTGAAAGATTCATATCGTACGTTATCTTCAAAATTTGTCCAGACCAGTTTTTACAATTTATATTTTTTTCCTTGCCTGTGATCTCGAAATAGCGTAGACAATTTCATCACAAATTGTCTGATGTTTCGAAAAAAAATCTTGTCTCAATATCCCGGACATGTTACTTCGTGATCTTGAATGTTTTCCAAGTCTTAGATTTCGAAAAATCGTCGGGGAAAATGTTCATGCTCTAGACATTTTTTCAACGACTTTAATTTCAAACATCGAGAAAAAATAATTTCGCAGAATCTTGAATTCTTTTCTTAGTCCATTAAATTGTATTGTATTTTTTTACGTAGTATATAATCAAAACAATTGCAAGACCAGATTTTTAACGTTTGAACTTACTTTAAATATATATTCAAAATATGAAAATTGTTCCAAACCGCACAATTTTCTCAATTTGTTTGTCTTAGAGATCTCGAATTCTTAAGTCCCGGCATTGAAAAATTGGTCCAAAATCTCTAAAAAAAATCCCAGGTTGAGATTTCAAGTCTTAGACGCATGCAAAATTATCTATGTCCACAATCTTTCCATCTTGGAAAATGTGCCTCGTTCCAGAATAATTAGATTTGTTCTAGGACTGTTATCTAAGAAGTAGTGTAGGTCTTAGTGGTATGAAAATTTGAGGTGTTTCAAAAGTTTCTGTGTCCGAAATCTTTAAAATTGTCTGCCTAAAAATTGTCAAAATTTGTCCGAGACTTACTGAATATAAAATCATCTGAATAGATTGTTTGTTGTCATAAATCGAATCACAAAACTTTGTACAGAGGGAGGAAATAGGCAATGCACTAATAAGCAAGTGCAAGCAATAACATTATTATTTGATTACCTTATTATATTTATAAAAATAATTATTTTTCGGAACCAGATTTATGGGAGCCTTAAATAATTATTTGTTTGTGGGTTGTGATTATGAGTTTATAAAATTTCTCGTAGTAAACGAAAGATTAGAACCATTTGTTTTCCATCAATAAATGTCACTTTCTTGATAGTACGCTTTTTTATGTAATCTCTACACAGTAAACAATATTTGAAACATTCTCAATCGTTGGTCATTTTTCAAGTGTCCATGGTTTTAAATACTCCTAAAGTCTGCATTTTTTATGAGTTTTATTTAAAAAAATAGAAACACTTTTTTGAATGTTTACTCAATAACTTTGTCTCAGGCGTCATTTCGATCAGTAGTGACGTTTTAGTGCTGGAATTTATTGAAAAATTTCAAAGATGCCATTTGGAAAAAAAAACAAAATCCAAAATGGACGATTTTTTGCAAAAATGTGAATGATTGCCCATAACACATTATTACGAAAAATTTAAAGCAAATCGCAGAAGGTCGAGTCTTAAATATTAATTTTGTTATCCTATTTGGCCTGGAAATAGAAGCTAGACGAATTTCAACACCATATATCAATATGTCCAATCGAACACATTTTCCTAATAAATTACAAACCAATTAACCGTTCCGTCTACCCCAGCTAGCCAGAGAGAACAGCGACAAACTGTCTACTCAGAACCCAGCATCCCACGCGCGGTGAATTATATATACCGCAAATTAATTAATTACAGGTGTGTCACACCTTTTTTTCGTTTGGCAAGCTGTGCACTAGGGTGCTTCATTCTGAAAAAAGTGATGAATTTCTGATGGGCCACCCTCCAGTTCGATTCATAGCCCCAAAATATGAACCTGTGCAAAAATTGGTAAAGATTGATGAAGGTTTAGAGGTCGCGCCAATGATTTGAAATTTGTATGGGAATTACTATGGAAGAATTTAAAAAATCGCTTATATCGCTATAACTTTGCTTCTACTTGTCCAAATGTCGAAAAAATTTAGTATGTTATTGCTATGGCAATAAACAAAAAGCCTACAGTTGCTACGCTCAGTTTTGCAGCGTATCAAGAATTATAAAAATGTGAAAAAATGGCAAAATAGGGTAAATTGACAGATGAATATGTACAAGGCAACAACGCCAATTTCATCGCAACAACAACAGGCTTGTTGATCATTGTCATGACAACCACATATTTTTTTTTTTTCAACGTTTGGACAACTACAACCAAAGTTAGAGCAATGTAAACGAAAATCAATAATTTCCCATACTAATTCACCAAAATCTCCATACAAAATCCAAATCATTGGCGCGACCTCTAAACCTTCATCAATCTTTACCATTTTTTGCACAGGTTCATATTTTGGGGCTATGAATCGAACTGGAGGGTGGCCTATCAAAAATTCATCACTTTTTTCAAAATGAAACACCCTACTGTGCACACAAGCTGTTGCTGCTGCTGCTGCTACTGGCAGCAGTGCCTCAGTCAGTATAATGTATAATCGAATCTACACCTGTCCAGTGAACTTACTTCGATAGCCAAGGCCCTTTGTTGCTGGCATCGAGCTTGTGCTAATGCTATGCAAATTTTATTCCTTCGACGAAAAATGAGAGGGCAATTTGTCAGTTCTATTCAGTGCTCCGCTTCCAACGCCATAATCGTACGAAATCAGATTTGTAGCATTACCTACGACATTTCATAATTGTTGTACAGCTACTGATAAAGTGCTGCCGTACCGAGCAGGAGGGAGCGGTCATTACTAAGGGGGTATTATATATGCAACTCTCTCTATATGGGCAGGCAGTGCTATAATTGCGGAAGCTTATCAGCAGTGGGCGAGTAAAGTGCAAATCAGAAGGGGCGCTAATTCGTGTGGCCTATATTTTTTGTTTCGTAGCTGTGCAGTGGTGTGCAAAATGTACGTCTAAAGTCTTGATTTGTCGATACTGTGTAACAGATTGCACCGAAAGATATGCAATTCTAATAATACACTTTTTTTAAATTATCATAAGTATGGGATTTACCGGTACACCCGCCCGCCACAGTAGGTATTGTCTTGAATGAATGACTTCAATCATCCTATGCATGCAGTATAAATTAAAGCGTGATAAGACTGCTCGGTTTGGACAACAATCGGCTATAACATTTAAGTAGAAGCTGCCAGCGCAAAAAGAGAATAAAGAAACAGACAATTTCTTCCGTTCCGTTCGTTGTTTATGTTTTGGCTAATGGGAACATTATTACCCGTGTAAACACTAAACATCGTGAACCGTGCGGTAATAGCAATAGAAAATATTTGCATTTATAATAGCCGCGCAGTAGTCCGCATTGCGATTAATCGATTCATTTGTTCTTGTTCTTCTTCTCTTTTTGACAGATTACTTCTTCACCATGGATACTGACGATGTGGAATCCTCGAGCAGCAGTACAATGTCCAGCCTCAACAGTTTGTTCTCGTTCACCAGTCCGGCCGTGAAGAAGCTGCTCGGCTGGAAGCAGGGTGACGAGGAGGAGAAATGGGCCGAGAAAGCCGTGGACAGTTTGGTCAAGAAGCTCAAGAAGCGGAAAGGTGCCATCGAGGAGCTGGAGCGGGCCCTGTCCTGTCCCGGACAGCCATCGAAGTGTGTCACCATTCCCCGGTCGCTCGACGGGCGGTTACAGGTAGTTATACAATTAGGTTAATCTGCTTGCCTTTTTTTTCAGCAGAAGGACGAGTACATCTTTTACAGTACATAGTCAAAGATCTTGGGAAAACTTTAGTCTCAAATAAACGAAAACACTTTTATAAAATCCTTCATATTCGGCTGCCAAAAATAAGAAACGGTAAAATGAGCTATATAAGAGGAAAGCGGCCTTTTACAGATCCTGCTTACATATAACAAAAAACACCAACCCGATGAACCATTTTCTATCCCAATTAACATTGGAAGTTTTATTGAGGTTTTAAAGCACAAGTCTAATCATGGTCTACAGAACTCTCATAAAACCGACATTGTTCCTTGGAATGGTATGGTTTTGCAACACTCATTTTGAATATTGCAGCACCACCCAAACAGTTTAGCATTACCTAAAGCATGTAGAAAAAGCTGATAAACGTACTGAATACGCTTGGGAGCGATTGAATTTGCGTCTTTGGAACTTGAAAAGTATTGATTCACTTCAGAAAAGTTCGGAATCACTTTGGAAAGTACTGATTCTCTTCAAAAATGATCGGAATCACTTAAGGACAGTTCGAACACACTTCAGAAAGAACTAGACCACTTTAGAAATATTCGCAGTCACTTCGGAAATGTTCTGAATTACTTTGAAAAGTTCTGAACCACTTCTTAAAAATCGGAATCACTTCGAAAAGTACTGATAAACTTCAGAAAAGCTCTACATCACTTCGGAAAGAGTAATGACTGACTGAGCATGATTGACCGCCCACGGTTGCTACTCTATTTTTTGCCAATTCAGCTGTAATTTCACAGAGAACCAATAGACGATGCTTGGGACTAGCAATCCTCCTCAATGTGTAAAAAGTGGTGATCTCAAACTAGGCAATACCAGCGCCGGCCGCGTCCGAACGCAGGTCAATAAAGGAATGGTTCAGTACGAGTTGTTGTTACTACCATGTACTCATATTAACAAATAAAGCGATTGACAAATTTTGACTGTGGATGGGCCTAAGATTAGACTCATGATGTTTTCCTCAGTAAGCAAAAACGATCACTCTAAGGCCACCGAGCCCCTCATATCACACCATACCTAAAGTGACCCTCAGTAAGCAAGCTACTGCAACAGACGATCTTTTAAATCCCAAAAGTAAAAGCTACGCAAAAGCACTTCGGCCTTCATTAAGCTTCGATTTCACGTGACGTTCAATGTTTGGATTTGCTCTTTACGCATTGTTCAAGCTATCGTGCCTCTTACATCATAACAAGCTATGACCGACGTAACGATTGTTAAGGCCCTGATTAAGGGAAAGTTTACCGGCCCGAAAATAAAAATAAATATTTTGAAAAACAATTAGACTCTCAGCAAAACCGAAAAGTCGATGTTTTGTGGTTTTTGAGTCCAACTTTAAGCCATAATGACTTATAAAAAATGTTTTTGCACGTGAATTTTCTTTGAAAAATTAGAAAAAATGTGATTTTTTTTAGATTTTTGATACCTTTTTTAATATTCTTAGAAACATATAGGGGAAGTTCACCGCTCCGAAAAAAAATAATTACGTTTTGATTTTTCTAAAAATATTCATAATTTTTTCTAATTTTTCAAAGAAAATTCACGTGCAAAAACATTTTTAATAAGCCATTATGGCATAAAGTTGGACTCAAAAAACCACAAAACATCGACTTTTCGGTTTTTCTGAGAGTCCATTTTTTTCATGATGAGATAGAAAAAATATTTTTAAATGTAATTTTTGACAAAAATTCAAGGAAGAAACTGATTTTCTTGGTTTTTTGATAATTCTTCCCAATATTTTTAGAAAAATAAAAACCTACAGAAAATATATTTTTTTTCTTTTCGGGGTGGTAATCTTCCCCTTAAAGAAAATTTTATAATGAAATTATGTTCTGGAAAGCAGTCAATAATGTATCCCAAACTGGATTAAGCGGGCACTCTATTTTTCTAAACATTCCGAAGCGTTCCGCCCAAGATCTAACAGGTACAACTTTCTACAATAGTGGCCTGGGATAAATCGTAATATATTTTCCTCACAAGACTCAACTATGTTCTTGCACTCGGATGCATACCTTACCGACAGTTTTGCTTTTCTTATGTTCTATCTAAAACTGCAAAACAGATCACGTGCGAAAGTATTCGGAAAGTACTGGCTTTTGAAAAAATCGGAATCACTTCGGAATGTTCTGAATCACTTCAGGAATGATCGGAATCACTTATGAAAGTACTGAATTAATTCAAAAGAGTTCCATTCCGAAGTACTGAATCATTTCAGAAATGTTCATACTCGCTTCGGAAACTACTGAATCACTTTTTAAACGATCGGAATCAATTAAAACAGTACTGAATCACTTCAGAAATGTTTGGAATCACTTGGAAAATGTTCTGAATCTCTTCGGAAAGTACTGAATCTCTTCGGAAGGTACTGAATTACTTCATATAAATAATAATACGAAATCACTTCTAAAAGAACTGAATCACTTCAGAAATGATCGGAATCACTTCGGAAAGTACTAAATCAATTCAAAGAAATTTAAAATCTAAATCTAAAAAATCTGAATCACTTCAGAAAAATTCGAAATCTCTTCGGAAAGGTGATGAATTACTTCTGAAATGTTCATAGTCACTTCGGAAAGTACTGAATTACTTCAGAAACGATCGCACTTCGAAAAATGCCGAATCATTTAAGCAATATTCTAAATAACTTCGAAAAGTACTGAATCACTTCATACAAGTACGGAATAACTTCTAAAAGAACTGAATCACTTCAGAAATGATCGTTCACTTCAGAAAAGTTTAGAATCACATCGGAATTGACTGAATCAATTCAGAACTGTTCATAATCAGTTCGGAATCTTAAGATAGAACTGATTCACTTCAGACAATTTCTAAATCACTTCGAAAAGTACTGAAGCACTTCAGCAATATTCTAAATAGCTTCATACAAATACCGAACCACTTCTAAAAAAACTGAATCACTTCAGAAAGTTTTGCAGCATTTCAGGAATGTTCGGAATTATTTCGGAAAGTTCTGATTCACTTCAGAATAGTTTGGAATCTCATCGCAATCAACTAAATTAATTCAGAAGTGTTCATAATCAGTTCGGAATCTACTGAATTACTTCAGATATGATCGGAGCCACTTAAGATACTACTGATTCACCACTTCAGAAAATTTCTAAATCACTTCGAAAAGTACTGAATCACTTCTAAAAAAATTCTAATGAGCTTCGGAAAAAACTGATTCATTCCAGAAAATTTCTAAAACCTTTCGGAATGTACTGAATCGCATTGGTAACGTTCGAAATCGCATCTTTAAAGCACTAAATCGCTTCAGAAGCGTTGGAGTCTCTTTGAAAAGTACTGAATCACTTCAGAAAAGTTTTAAATCACTTCGGAAACTGCTGAATCACTTCGAAAAAATCCAGAATAACTTCTAAAAGATCTAAACCACTTCGGAAATGTTCTGAATCGCTTCGGTAAGTACTGAATCACTTCATTAAATAATCGGAACCACTTCTAAAAGAACTGATTCATTCCAGATATGTTCGGAATCACTTCGGAAAGTTTTGAATCACTTCAGAAACGATCGGAATCATTTCGAAAAATACTGAAGCACTTCAACAATATTCTAAATAGCTTCATTCAAATACGGAACCTCTTCAAAAAGATCTGAATCCCTTCATAAATGATCGAAATCACTTCAGCAAGTATTGCAGCACTTCAGGAATGTTCGGAATTATTTCGAAAACTTCTGATTCATTACAGAAAAGTTTGGAATCACATCGGAATTAACTGAATCAATTCAGAAGTGCTCATAATTTCTTCAAATATGATCGGAGTCACTTAAGATAGTACTGATTCACTTCAGAAAATTTCTAAATCACTTCGGAAAGTACTGAATCACTTCTAAAAAATTTGAAATCTCTTCGAAAAAAAAAAACAACTGGATCACTTCAGCAAATTTCTAAAACACTTCGGAATGTACTGAATCACATTGAAAAAGTCCGAAGTCAAATATAAAAGCACTAAGCCTCTTCAGAAGCGTTGGAGTCTCTTTGAGAAATAGTGAATCACTTTTTAAAAGTACTCAATCATTTTTTAAAAATTGAGAAAAGTTCAAAATCACTTTTGAAAATTCGGAAACACATTAAAAGTGCTGAATCACTTCAAAATCACTTCGAAAAGAGCTTAATCATTTCAGAAATGTTCGGAATCACTTCGAAAAATACTGGTTTACTTCAGAAAACTTTAGAATCGCTTTGGATCGAACTGAATAATTTTTGAAATGTTCATAACCACTTCGGAAAGTACTGAATCACTTCAAAAAAGATCGGACACAAAAGTTCGAAATTACTTTGGAATGTACTGAATCATTTCAGAAAAATTCTAGGTCACTTCGGAATAAACTAAATCAATTGAGAAAATTTTGGATTCACTTCGGATGGAACAATTCTCGCGTCACTTTTCAAATAGACCAATGTAACATATCCACCATTTTGAGAAAATCGAAGTTTAAGTTCGACAGATTATTATTTAAACTGTTTAGAAACGATACATTTTGCAATACTATTTTTAATGTAGTCAGTAAATAATAACGTTGAAAATTCAGTAGAAACGCTAAAATCACAATTTTACTTTGAGTTTAATGCTACAATATAGAAAAAAAAATCACATAGGACGTTTTAACATGTCAAGTTGTACATCGGACATGTTAAATTGGACGATTTTTCTCAATGACATAATCAATGAGTGTTACATTGGACGTTTTGCCTACATGCTACTAGATTCCATTTCACAGATTTCAGAGTAGAGTACTTAACTTTAGATTGGCCCCGCCTATGGAAAATGAGCACCAATCATGTTAGGCAGTCCGAATGACCGAAGTAACTATCATGTACCCATCATTTCAAACTGTATTTGGACAATTTTTGACCTAATAAATGAAAGTCAATTTGCAAGGATGTTTTTGCATCACATACAATGGTAGAAGA